AAATTTTTTTTTATTTTTTAAGAGAAGAAGGGGAGGGGCGGGAAGGGGGGGGGGGGTAGAAAGTAGAAAATTGTATTATTCGTATTCTAGACACCAATCTATCATGATCAGTATCGAGTGTAGATTCTTCACGATACTAATATTGCCGAATTTTAGCTGTCAAAGGCAAACGCTTGACAGTGGAGGTATTACGACGTTGCTCAGCATTGCCCGATGAACCATCAATCTTTTCACCTTTAACATCGGCTAATTCAACAGAAGATGAAAATTTAACTGGATGTACTCCTGCATTGCGCCGCAGAAGGCAAAGCGAAAAATACGTAACCGATGCCAGTCAACTGAATCTACGATTTCAAAGACCACAACGCAGGATCAGATCTCATTCTGAAGTATTATCCAAATTTTCTCCTAGGGGAGTACCCTCGCATCTTCTAGGAGAAACGGCTAAACGAACTGACGAGAGTAGTGACAATGACTCTGATAACAGTGGCCCACCGAATGCTCAACCTCCAGCACCCCCTACATCTCTGCCGCCTCATGTTGCAGAAAATAATGCTAGGTATTTAGATTTCTGTGAGCTTTTACTCATAGAAAGTATATAATATCATTCAATTAATCGTAAAAATTATTAATTATAAATTCGTTTCAATTACCAGATGCCGCAGATTTCGACCTATATCAGACGGGACAATAATCAGCAAAGAATGGTGAGATATAGCGTCTGTGGAAGCCAATTCAAATATTTGTTTATATCAGCGACCGACAGAAACTTTGAAGTCTGTTTGTTCGAATGTATGGAATCTTTCTTCCCGTGTGAAAGAAAGCAAAAAAATAATATTAATTTTATGATGATTTGATTCAAAGTGTCACATAAAACTTGTTAACTTCTACGTGGAGAGAAGGAGAACGTGTTATCACGTGAGAAATCATTACTTTCTTAGATAAAACAATTTTGGTAAAAATGTTAAAGCAAAATGAATATTACTCAGAGAAATGCAATGGAATATTATCAGTTCTGCACGTTGAGTGAGCTAGAAATTCTTCTAGATCAAACTATCTGCAGGTGCATATTTCATTCAGGTGTAAGATTCTGTTGCAAAAGTTACACGAATTGGTGGTGCTTCAAAGAATGTACTTCCTAGTCTACAAAGGTATGTGACGATATGATAAAGCTCACTGAATATTTATCAGATATGTACGTTACCAAGACACAACTCAAAACGAATTATTCTTTAAAGAGATACATTCAGAAGAGCTATTAAGTGTTTTCATTCGAAACATTTGTACTGCACACATCACTACTACTATTACTATACATACATGCCATTTCCTCCTTTCCTGATCTGATATTTTCTCATTTTTACTCCTTATCTTATTTGTCTTCCTATTTTTTCCCACTATTTCTTTATACATAGTTTCTTCTACAGAAGAATCTTTATTTCCTAAATATTGCACTCTCACTATTTCCCCTTTCCAACTAACTACAGTGCAAAATTTTACTTTTCTGTAAATGGAAGAAGAAACTCTGACACTACTCTTATTGATTATGTACTCGATAAAAATAGAAATTTACATAGAAGAGCAAATTACTAAAAATAACTAATTGAGTAAAAATTTGTCAACTACTTTTCTTACAGAAGCGATACATGATGGATCACGATAGAGGTGATTAGAATATATATTAGAAATATAAAATGACACGAACAATTGTACCGTATTTATTTTAAACGATAGTTTTAATTGAATTTCCTTCAATTATAATGGTAACGGTGCTCTTTGAAAAACCACCACCACAATTAATAAAAGGTAGCAAGAAACAATCGTTAATATAAAAATAACAATTATATCTTCGAGCAAATGTATATCTCGTCCGAATTATCGTTTTATGGGCGTGTAACATGTTAGCGAACTGCTTGTATTAAGGCTGTCGCAAAAGATAGATGTATTCAATTAAGAGATCACGATTTACCACTTGTCAATATAAGCAAGCCTTTGATTGGGTGAAAACATTTGTTGTCATCAAGATTTAAACGATGAAACAACCTGTACGAATGAATAAGTATTCGAAGAGAATGTTATAGTTAGGTAACATGTAATCACGCGTATTTGTCTTGCACTTCCCGATAACGCGATTTTTCCAAACAGTTACAAATCCGCAATCGAAACAAATATAGTGATGCATAAAACTAGTCAAGTAGAATCCTTTAGTATTCTATTAATGAAACCAAATTTGCGCATAGAGTTATAAATATTATACTTGTACAAAATAGTTTAGGGTTTATTTTGTGCAATGATCGAAATAACGTTAAAGATACGATGAGATAGCTTTAAGTTGACGTCGTGAAAATCATTTCGCGATATGAAAAAAATGTGCGGTGCGCGCGAATAAAAGTACGGAATTATTGTAGACGAAATAAGTAACGGAGTGATACGAGTCTATACGAGTGTTTATTAACATTTGTACGTATATATGCGAGTACGTATATGTATGTTACACTACACCTGTCCGTGCGCTCGTGTTTCGAAACTTCAAATGTAAACTTATCTGAAATTTTTTGTGCGAACATACGTAACTTTACAACAAGAAAGCGTCAACGATGGATATACTTTGTGTAAATCGGTAATGAATCTGTAATCGAAAATCAAGTGTAAGTTTTAATGTAAACAAACACGCATAATACAGCTCATTGGATGCATCTTTGACTTAGTATATTTGAATATACAATTATGAGCAAAACTGAATACACGACAAATATTGTCAAAAGAAATATTGAATAAAGGTAAGAAGATTTAAATTAATATTGCCAATTTCTTGTTTAATGTCATAGGATATGCAATCGGTCGTCCAAATTATTAAAGTGTGTTCCTTTTTTGTTGTAATAATAAACACTTACAAACTGGAGTCTCATACTTTTATAAAAAAATTTTTAATTTGAATGGAAGTTTACATGCATACGTGCACACGTACATACATAAACCGCATTACAAAAATCTATTCTCAAAATGCTCATTCGAAAATAATTAAAAATTTTTCGTTAAATATATTCTTCTAATATGTCAATAATTGGTCAATTTATATTGAAAGCTTTTTTTTTTATCTTTAGTTATTTTCGAATTAGCATTTTAGGAATCGATCTTTGATGTGAAGTGCTGGCCCATAAATTTGAGTTTTAGCTGCTATAAAAAATATATATATGTACTAACTTTGCATATTGCACAACCGTACGATATTTTATTCGTATCAGATCTTCTTTATAAATGTCTGAAATTGTGGTCCACGAATTTTTATTATTGCAGCTGAGAAGGAATACATTTTAATCTGTAAAGGGTCGATAAAAGCAAATTACGGTCAGCACTTTTGATTTAAATATCAATATACTCGTATCTGAGGTATTTCATACACAAATCTCTTAGTATGAATAGTTCCAATATATTGACTTTAAATGGAACCAAAAATATAAAAATTTCCAATTTTAAAAATAAAATGTTTACAAGGATATTTTGATGTGCTGAATCATACACTTGGAAACACAAAATATGTTGTATGTACAAACAAACAGATATGTGAAATTCTACATATTTAGAAGGTAATGAACTAAATTTATTTCAAGCTAATGTAATAATGTTTCGGCCAACTAGGAGTTGATAATTTTGAAAATTGTTTACGGTTACTATGATACCGAGCAAGTAATTGGCAAGGCTGATTTTAATCGCTTTATTATCTTTACTCGTTACTTTTTTTTTGATGTGTTAGTTCAGTTTTGTTCATCACTGTATGATTGTTCATCTATCTATAATGATAAACTTACTTATTATTTATGCCATTACTTATACCATTTACTTCGAAAGTTCGTGTCGCCATAATAATAATAAAGAAACAGTGTTTTGTTTTCGAAAGTATATAGAATGAACTTATCGTCATTAATGCAACAAATTCGTTTGAAATTTAAGAAAGCCTAAAATCCATTTACAAAATACAAATTACATGTAAGTGTGGGCACGTCGATTTTATATAAAAAAGATTTTTCCCAAGTGTTATCAGATGCTTTGAATTGCTTCGCAAATTTTAGCGAAATACATGGAGAAATGAATACTGCATGAAATTTCCACACACCCTGATGTATAGATTTTGAAAGCAATAATTATTATTAATGATAATAATACTAATGGGGAGAAAAAAAAAATCGTATGTAAAATTTCAATTTTAAATATTAGCTTTTAAAAGTTGAATAGCTAACGTTGGTGTGATCTAAAATTGTACAATTTCAGTACATTATATCAATTGTCTATGGTCGTGTACCGTAATAACATATAATTACACACTATAACAAGGTATCAATGGATATTAGTTTAGAAATTTTTGTATCGCCAATTTCTGTTCTTCTCAAAGGTATAAACATATTGATATTAACATTTCACATCTGGCCACGATAGATAGCATCGTTGTCATCGACATATAACAGGTAAATATTTTACATAAAGAGTTAGAACACTTGGTACAAGTGCCAGAACGCGTTTTTAAACGTTGTTAAACGTTCTAAATTATAAGTAAATTAAGATATTTGCATGTACACATGAAACGGGAATGTATAGTAATATAACCTCTTTCCTTGAAGTTACAAAAGGTAAAACGAGAAAGAATCAAATAATAAATTACAACTTTGAAACATGTGATGCTCGACTTTGACACGAAAATTTTATTACACAATTTTTTATTACACAATAAAAGTCAGCAGCAATAAATTATAAATATTAAAATATAATATAATGTATATTCTTTGTGCTTTTATTGCAGATAATGCAGGTACTACATAGAATTTTACAAAATCGTTTCTTTGCGCCATTATTATGCCTGCCCTTTGCTGCCATTGGATATTATGTAGAAGGACTTATATCCAATCGTTATACACCTCCAATTGCACCAGTAATGGAGCAACGCGAAGAAAGGTTATTAGCTAATATGAATTCGACGCCAAGTAAAGGAAAACATTGTCCACTGGAAGTTAATCTTTCACCATCGCTATCTGAATAACTATGTGCTTAATTTAGTTGTATACCACAGAGAGTGTAGTATAGGATTAAATTTAATCTCAATTATTAGATAAATTAGAATATGAAATGAAAAATATAGTTTTAATATATGAGCGTTATATTTCATTGGGATACATCATGAATTGTTACAATTAAATTGTATAAAATACAAATTATAGAGGGTCAATATAAATTTCTTAAGCTATTACTCCAAACTTGTATATAACAATATGACGATAAATCTGTCCAGGTTCAACTATGCTATTAGGAAAATTTGCCTGCAAGCATTAATACAAAGTTATTAACTTCAGATGATATAATTGTATGACTTTAGTTTATTTGTTAGTCTAGTCAACTTATTCTAAATTTAATATACACAATAATATTTCGATACTCACGTGATTGACTGCATCTGGATAATTTTGCGTCTCAAGACAAAATGCAGCATGTTTAAAATACCGGCTTCCGTTCTTTCCTTGTATACCCGCAGTATCATGTTCGGGGAGAAAGTTTGCTGTATAAAATTGTACAGCTGGTTGATTCGAGAAAACTTCTAAATATCTTCCGGAAGTTGGATGTACAGCTGTGGCAACAAAATTTCTTTCATTCTGAGTATCGTTTACGATTAAACAAAAATTATTATCGTAGCCACCGCCTGGTATTTTATCGATAACATCACCGAGAACAGTTATGTTTCTCAGGTCCATTGCGGTATCAATGACTGATAGAATATCACCAGTAGGGATATTCTTTGCGTCGGTAGCTGTCCAACGATCCGCATTCAAAGTAAACTGATGTTTGTACAATTCACTCGCATTACCATTCTAAAATACATTCGATTTAAATTATTTATGTGGCAAAATGAATGGCAAAATGAAAAAAGAAGCAAGTGTTGCATGCAAATGTTACTTGTTCTTAATATCCATCGATACAATTTATTAGTCGGTAGAGCTGAACAAACTAATGAACTTGGAAATATCGGTATACGAACGTGGCCAGCTAAATTGAAGTAACTATGGTTAGTCAAATTAATAGGAGTAGCTTTGGTGACAAAAGCCTTCATCTTGATACGTAATTCTCCATTATCAAATAGTTGAAAAATAACAGATGCCACAACATCTCCAGGATAACCTTCGTCACCATCTTCGCTTAATAGCGAAAGCACAAGCCGATTACTTTGAATAGCAGCATTCCATATTTTCCAACTCCAACCGTTAATACCACCATGAAGACTATCCTGTCCTAGATTTTTAGTTAAATGATACGTATTCCCATTCAATATGAATTCTCCATTTTTTATACGGTTCGCGACTCTTCCTACTGTTGCACCGAAGTACGGATTACGAAACATAGTGGAAGCATAGTCTGCAAGAAATCATGCTAGATTAAATGAAGCAAAAGAGAAGAAAATAAAAACAGTGGTAAAGTGGATGTCATTGGATTGAAAGTTTAAACGTGATAAAATATTTGTTCCATTTAGTTAGTTAAAAGGGTTATTGTTCGCATTAATGTTCACGTTGTTACTAAATTAAGTATAAAGGTGATTGTGAAAATAAAACTATACCTTCTACATTATCAAAACCTAATACGACATCTGCTATGTTTCCTAGTTTATCTGGCGTTCTAACGGATGTTATTGTCGCACCGTACGTTATAATGTCCACCTCTTGACCTGCTTTGTTTTTTAAAGTATATTTCTCTATGCTCCGACCATTGATAGATCCCCATTTTGTAACGATTATTACCTCTTCACTGTTTGAATCCATAATCAATCTAACGAATATAAGAATAGATACACGTATGAAATACAAAGCGTATTTTTAAAAGACTTAGTAGGAGGAAGACTACGATAATGCCGTACTGTTCTGGACTGTAACGATTATAAGCATTGTAATAATCTATATAACGATTATCAGACTGTTTTGGACTTTACCATTCTGTAATTAAATACTGACTATCTGTGAAACGAATCTACACCTTGGAAGTAAACGTATTCTTACTCGAGTAATAAAAAAGTTATCACAATGCATCGAGAAAGCTGCAACATAATAGCGATGAAACGTGTCGTACACAGCACTGAAACGAAGTTGTTCAAGATACTGAGTCTTATGTCCTTCGATATAATTCTTATAACGTGTATATAAATGCACATTATATATGCTTTCCAATCATTTAATAATTACATTTCATTAACATATTTATTGACATCTTTCATACATAGACACACATTATAATCTACATTATAAAAGAATATAATTCTATTATATTACATTAATATTATTATATATTATAATATTAAGTCTTTTTCAGTTACAATAATCTACAATTATACGATGTTTAATAATTCTTAATATATTTAACGTAATTAATAATGTAATATAATTTAATATACTAAATAACATTTAAAATTAAGCGAATCTTATTGGAATTATTAATTATAGATGCAATTATTCTTGCATAAAATTATATCAAGTATATGAAAGATAAATTCGAAATATGAAATATTATACTCGTAGTGATTTGATATATTAAAAAAGTATGTAAAAGTAAAATTTGTAATGTAGTAGGTGGCCCGTATGAAAATGGGAGTGAAAGATACGTCCAATTCTTTTTATTTGACGAAATATCAATCGGTGTGTATTGATGGTGTCTATAGGTAAGAAATTTTTCTACTTAGACTGTAAATTTAAAAATTTTTGACAAATAATATCATACGGACATGAGATTTCTCGCATGTTGCCATCAAACTTATCATATGCTTTGATATAAAATGGAAATATCTCTGATGGCATAACACTTGAAATGGATGACATTCATACATATGTACGTATGTACGTTTCATGTATCAAGTAAATTAATAACGTTTCGTTATCATGATTCGTTTTCGATGACCTCGTTAAATCGTTACTCGAGATAATATGTATATACGTACATACATAGACTTTCTGTTTTCATAATGATAGTTAATCATAGTAGAGGGAATATTTTTCACGATGCTTAATTTTAAAAAGCAATCAATCGTCGGTAATATTACTCAACTAGTTTCTTAGAATCGTCTACCGTGAAGCATCATTGCGGTTTAATATTTTTGTTTTTTATTCAGAAAATGCGCACCAACGATACTGGCTGCATCTATAACATTGTATTCGCAGGAATAAAAAAACTTGCGTACTTTTTAGACGGATTTCTTTACTGCCTATCGATTAATATCGTACCTAGCCATTAATATTATAATTATCAGAAAGGCAAAAGGAAGTATGTAGCGAAAAAGAAACTGTTTGGAAAAAAATATTGACTTTTGAAAGCGAAAGGTTTAATATTTATTATAACACTTATATGTAAGTACATGGCGAAGAGTTTGTATAAAATGCTACGTAAATAAGATATTAATGGAGAGATTGAAAAGGAAAAATCTTGTTAGTAGCACGAGTCATCACATCGGTGTGAACAGATGGTCATAATACAATACGAGAAGAACGATAACGACAGCACCGTATAGCGGCGCTAGCATCGTTTAAACACAAAAGAGAAGTAGGGTAAATCTGGATGCTATTGGGCGTGTATATTACGTGGCGTAGGTCTTTCCTTGAATCGTGTCGCATATTTGTGTCAATTTGTGCACGAATACGAGTTGTGTACGTAATACGACTTGCTTCTCCTCCATCCTCCGTAATAGTCGTGCATAGTGTACTTAGAATAAGATTCACGTAAGGGAATACACGTGAAGGAAATATCTACACCTGTTTGTCTCTTTATACAATTCGTGAACACCTATAAAATCGAAGTTCTCATTTGCATGAAATAGGAATAAGCATTGATCACGTAATTTACTTTGTCAGTGTAATCATTATTAATCGTAATTTTTTCATCCATTAACAGTTGAAGTAAATCAAACTAATCGACTATCGACCATTAATTTTTGTACGTGGCAGTGTAAACGGTGACTCGACGAATCATCGAAATTGAACGTGAAGCAGTGTTTGAAGCATCAGTGAATTTCTATCGACACAGTAATTTTTTCAAACGCACGTCTCTCTCTCTCTCTCTCTCCCCCCTCTCTCCCTCTCCTCCCCCTTCTTCTCTGTCTCTCGCTCGCTCTATCTCTCTCTCTCTCTCTCTCTCTCTCTCTCTCTCTCTCTCTCTCTCTCTTTTTTCTCCGTCCTTTTTTAATACTTTCCATACGATAACGTGCTACGATTCTAACGTCAGTCTTGTTGTATGTTGATAAAAGACTGAAATATCAAGAGTCAGTTAATTAAATCTTAACATACAGGTCGAAATTATTAAGAAGACGCGCACAGAAGTAGCCGGAGTTTATCGTTTGCTCAAGATTTGTTTGCAGATTTTTTCGAATAACAACAATTTATAAGATGGGTCTGGGCAATAAGGTGTGTATATAACATTTTCAACTACACAGTTACGTTTATGTTAAAATGTGATTTTTAACCTCTCTTTTTTCATTCTTTTACAAAACGTTTGATTTTAGCATATTTCTTATCGATGTTGATCGAGCTTCAGATATATACGTAACAACGATATTATATAGAAATGATGGTAAACTTGATTGCTCTCCCCTCTACGCGAATATTTTTTCTTTGCCGCGACAATTTTTTGGCTAATGTATAATATCACTGTTTGTTAAAATTCAATGAAAAAGAATTCGTTGGTGATATTTTTTTTTGTTAACAAGAATAATTCGAGTGGTGGTGCAAAGTTTACGTATACCAATGCCGCCATACTCGATTCGTGTAACGATTCTTTTAATTTTTCGGTAAATATATAATGAATGAAATATAGTAAAATAAGTAAAAGAGATAACGAAGAAGCGAAGAAAAAGGTATAAATTCGACGATTAGTTCATGTTCGTCATGTTTGTGTATCGCGGTTGGAGAAAAATGATCGTAATAGGTTTTGCTTCAGCAATTCATTATATTCCTATAATGTTTTTATAGCATAAATATATCTTCACGACATATTTGATAAATATATACGCATTTATGTAAATACGTTTTATAGGAAAAACTTTTCGATTCGGTTATTACGGATTATTATTGCTGCGTTAATATCGTTAGGATGAATCGTGATGCGTTACCAAGAGAAAAGAAGAATTTAACAATCGTTGCTTCTTCATTCACGATAACCATACGGTCTGCTGGTAAAGCCGAGATGACCTGCGATACGTTATAATTATTTATCGTTAACGCGTTCTATTATAGAGATAGTTGAAATTTATTTATAAAAATAGAGCCGAGAAGGAGTACCGTCCGATCGGATTTAAAGGGGGAAAAAAGTAAATTTGGTGGAATTCTTAAATATATAAATTTAATAAATTTCTTTCGAGTGAAAGTGAATTTGAAATTTGAAGCAATGAAATTTAGCATTTCTCGTTTCGCCATTTTCCTTTGTCGTCTCGTCTCGTTTCATTCTCTTTGTCCGCTATTTCGTGGTATCACGTACAGATTATCCATACGATATTGCGCGATACTTTTCCGTGCAATGATCACCGAAGGAAACTTGCCGATCCCTTTCGCTTTTAACAAGTTCGTAATTTTGCATAGTATTTCAAAATGTGTTATACAGTTTTGTACGTTTAATCCATAAATCTAGCACAATTACCTTATCAGGGTCAGTTGTGATATTCGTCAATGACGAACGATAATTCCTTTTATCTCGAATCTTGACGGCTCACTGGCTGTGTTTAGCGATTACATAATTGCAAGACTGTGCCATAAAACTGCTGGAAAATTGAAGAAAATGTTTTCGAAAGTAGTACCGTGTACACGAAGAATAGCCGTGTTGAATCACGTTAACACGCTTTGTAGATGTAAGGTATCAAGGATGCGAGTAACAATCGTTTAAAATTGCATCTAAACTAGAAGGAATTTTTCTACGCGTAAATCGAAATAGAAGTAAAAATTCGAGACGCGAACGAACGCGCTTACGAAGAACGCAAGCGCAACAACAACCGATAGTAAAGCATAATAACAGATAAATGTGTATGTATCTACCTTGGTTGATTAGAAATTTTTCGGTTACTGCTTGGCTTATCAAATTGGTTTCGCTATTTATGCCTTGTTTCAACAAAATTATTACTGTATCTATATACATAACCGTTATCTATTCGTATATGTATGTATACATACATTTCGTATCACAGACATTTTGGAGCAAAACCGGAAATCAGAGGAAAAGTGAAACAGAAGCAAAGCTGAGAACGAGGAACGATAGCTTTTTTAGTCGTTTACTCCGATTGTTTACGATATACTTAAATTATTGCTCGTTAGAATTTAACGGGAGCCGTGTCTTCCGATGAAACATCGTATTATATAAATTACCTCTCACGTTTGAATAATTCGTGGAACGATAGGTATATACGCGTATTGTAACACATAGCGAACATGTCCGATGTCCTATGTACATACATCGACAGATGGCACGAATCTTGCAAATCGTAATACGTATACGTATCGAGGTCCTGTCTGTTTTCCGTTTTCGCACGTGTTTACGTTTTTGTATTATACTCGCGAATGAGGCGCGGAGAGGAACGATCGCGTACTACACAAGACGAAATATCGATCATTATTTTCGCGCAAGTCTCGCAACGACATGCACTATCGGTGATGGTAACGATGCGATATACTCGTTCGATGCGTTTGCACAAGTACGATAGAAGAGCGTATAAGAACGTTTCGAAGGATCTTTGTTTCAGAAACGTGTCGTGTGCCCATCGTGTATCATCGAATCCGTTGCATTTCGCAATCTTAAACTTTCGGTGGGCGTGTTTCTCGTTTCGAGGATGAACAACGACAAAAGGGAATAAGAGAAGAAAGGGGACAATCCTTGTTGTGAGTGAGTACTGTGTGGTTCGAGAGACTACGTTACACAAGGATAGTATCTATCGTCCAATTTTCATTTTCGCTTTCCACGGACACACGAACGTTCGATCGATTATACCTTACCTACTATGTGTGTGTGTGTGTGTGTGTGTGTGTGTGTGCGTGCGCGCGCGCATATATATATATATACATACATATACATATATATATATATATATGTCTATAGGGTAAAAAGGGGTTAATGTGTAAAAATAGTATTTCTTCGATAACGGAGATACTTTTACGTATGCATGTATGTGCTATGCAGTTGCTGCATTGTGAAATGATGGAACGTATAAAAAAGGAATCGACGAATTTACCTTTCGAATCTCGAATTCTTGGCTTCTCGTTCCTATGAAATATACTTACCGCGAATTATTAAAAGAGTATACTCTGCACTCGATGATTTAACTTTGTCCTGTTTCTTTTATATCATCGCAGATGTCTGAGGAGAATCCAGAGATGCGGCAAATGGCAGCGCGTATATGTCGCGATTATCTTCATGGAGTTTGGAAGCATGTTACCGCGGAGAACATCACGTTGAAACGTGTCAGGTTAGTATCGATGCACGATATTTATCGTATAATTTACGTTTCGTGCAATTTGACAAGAAACAAGAAACCCTTGTTCCTTGTACACGTTCTTTACGACGTTTACCAAACCTTTCTCTCGTTCCAATCTCCTTTCCCGTGTAGCATACAATCGAATACAATCGAATACAATGGAAAAGAAAACTATGACTCTGATCGTTTGTAAAAGTCTCTCTCTCGTCAACCCGACACGTATTGCGCGATATCGTGTAAATCAGATGCGAAACCGCATCTGTGGATACGCGTGTTTTCAAAACGACACGCTATTCACAGGTTTGGTAATATGAAATTTTACATGAAATTTAATATGAAATTTAATATGAAATTTAATATGAAATTTAATATGAAATTTAATAATGATAATAACGATAACAAGTATATGTATTAATGTATATTTTACAGCGGCGGGTTAAGCAATTGGTTGTACAATGTCCAGTTACCGGATGAAACTGTTCCGATACGCGGTGAGCCGCGGCAAGTTTTGTTACGATTGTACGGTCAGATACACGGAGAACGAGCTTTGGAAGGGCTGATCACCGAATCGGTCATCTTCACGCTATTGTCGGAAAGACGACTTGGACCCAAGTTACACGGTATATTTCCTGGCGGTCGTATAGAAGAATATATACCTGCGAGACCGTTGCTTACCAAAGAATTAGCCGATCCGACTTTAAGTTCCATGATTGCCGAAAAAATGGCTCAGATTCATAACATGCAGGTCCCGATAAGCAAAGAACCAACGTGGCTTTGGGACACTATGGCTAAATGGTTGGATACGACCACGGATATTTTGGAACATATCAAAGATATAGATGTTCGACATTTGAAGAACGTGAACGCGATACGAGCAATCGATCTGGATCACGAGATTAAATGGTTCAAGTAAGAAAGATATGATAGAGGGTGCGGGGAGAGGGAGGGAATTGTTGTTGAACAAATATTTTTTACAGATCGCTTGCGACGCAACACAAATATCCGGTTGTTTTTTGTCACAATGATATGCAGGAGGGTAATATATTGCTGCGTCAAAACACGCGAAAACCCGAACTGGTTCTTATCGACTTTGAATATTGCTCTTATAATTATCGAGCATTCGACATAGCGAATCATTTTGTGGAATGGCAATACGATTATACGGCAACGGAATATCCTTTCTTTCATGAACGTGCTGGATCTGGTCCTACGACAGAGCAAAAGGTAAGTGTTAGATTACTCCATTTTTCGAAATATACCATTCGCAAAGAAAGAATAACGGTAAGATCGTCGCGTTTTCTTATCCTTCCTTCACTCGTTCAACTTGTCTTGCGCCGCCCTTACGGAGTCCAGCAAATAGAATTATTCAGTTCTAAGGGATCTTTTGTTATTCGTCCCGTTACCCGTACAAACGTCTAACGTAATCGCATTTTTAGTCGATCGATCGATCAATACCTATTTTCGGCTTGATTATGTCGTTTAAATTATACCGACACTGATTGAAACTGGATCTGTCGTCAATGGACAACTATATTTATATTTCCTACATTTTGCATGATAAAAAAGAAAAAAAGAGAACCAACGAAAGAGAAAACGAAATGAAAGCAAGAAAAAAGACACGCGTGAACAACGAACGAAATGTTCGTTTCGTTTTCGCGGAAATATTTATACTTGAAACCATTATGTCGATTGATCGAATTAATTCGTCAAATATTTCTATGCACCGCAAAAAAGGAAAGAAAAAACCATCGGACTCGTTTATAGAGTTTCAATTTTCTTCGACAGGACGAGTTTAATAAACGCGAAGATTATACGCCATCGATAAAAGTTTTACACAGACGAACAAGGTTGTTGCCTTGTCAACGAAATTCAGACTAATATACGCAAAGAAAATTTCCTTTTCCCTATCTCTGCTGCTGCTATTGTTGCACGTCACCGTCTATACGTCATTATCACCGTTACAGTCTCATCGTCTACATTATCGTCATTGTCTTTACTCTCACCATTGCTATCGCTATCATTGTCACTAATTATCCTCACCACCATCACCACCATCACAATCACCACCATCACCACCATCACCACCATCACCATCACCACCATCACCACCATCACCACCATCACCACCATCACCACCATCACCACCATCACCACCATCACCACCATCACCATCACCACCATCACCACCGTCACCGTCACCCTCATCGTCATCGTCATCGTCATCGTCATCGTCATCGTCATCGTCGTCGTCGTCGTCGTCGTCGTCGTCATCGTCATCGTCATCGTCATCGTCATCGTCATCGTCATCGTCATCGTCATCGTCATCGTCATCGTCATCGTCATCGTCGTCGTCGTCGTCGTCGTCGTCGTCGTCGTCGTCGTCGTCGTCGTCGTCGTCGTCGTCGTCGTCGTCATCGCCACCATTATTATTATCATTATCATCGTCAGCGTCTTTATCATTACCACTACCATTCTCGCCACCAGCATTGTTAGCATTATTATCAGTATCATCGTTAATAACACCGTGTCGTCATCGGTATCGTATCACTGTCATTGTCAATATCAAGGCCACCCTCATCGTTGATCATCATCAGTGTCATTAGTGTTGTCGTCCTTGTCGTAATTACCGCACCTAACTATCTTTTCCATTTTCTTTTCATTTCTTTGTCTCTTTTCCACCGTTCCTTCATTATCTTTAAGATTGCAAAATTGAAAGCGCAAGACCAAGTTTGATCGTATGCAATGCTCACAAACGATGCATACGTGTACTTATACCTACTCGGTCAAGCAAGTTCGGGAGTTATCAAGAGCAGATCGAAGGCTGCTTGGCGTGTGCTGCGTGTGTATATATTAGTTTCACAGGACCCCGATCCGGTGAGACAAGGCTGATGCCTGCGATCGGCTAATCGGAATAATGGGGATGGCAATATCGATCTGTGCCAGTGCTATGGATCCTGTCTCGCACCGTATGTTGTGGAACCAGAACGACCGGTGCCATCACTCACCTTTGCAACATCAGTCCCGTACCTGCGCATCTACGACTCTAGAGTACCTCTACACGCACTCTCGATAGTCGATCCATAATCTACATTACTCGATAAATGTACAGTGTCTTATGGGTGGTAAAATCGCGTTATTTCCAATTAAGACACTTTTCTCACCGCATTTAAATATCCGTATACCATATACAGTTAGAATATCCCTATGAACGCATGTTTATTACGATTACAATTGACTCGATTTTTCAGATCATTATTATACTGATACGTATAAATCTACGTATCACTTTCAAGCTGCTTTCGCTGTAGTGACGTCTCTCTCTCCTCTCTCTCTCTCTCTCTCTCTCTCTCTCTCTCTCTCTCTCTCTCTCTGTACAGAAAAGCTTTTAAGGTTTATCCTATACATCTTACATATGTAAATATACATATACATAATTATACATGTATGTATATGTATATTTTCGATCCGTATATGTATATATGTTTATATATACGTATACCATTTCCTATCTGTTTAAATTCATCTTTCAATTACTTTTGACAAATAAGCCTATTGTACATTTAGCAAGCACATATTTTTTGACAGCTCAACTTTATAAGAAGTTACTTGAGAACGGTCGGCAAAGAAGGACCATCGGAAGAAGATCGAATTATAATGGAAATCAAGATATTCTCGTTGGCTAGTCACTTATTTTGGGGTCTATGGAGTATCGTAAACGCCAAATTATCAGAAATTCCATTTGGATATTGGGTATGTGTATATCGGTAGATCATACTTTTCACAATATTCACTCCTTCGCTTCATTTTAATCTCCATCGCGGGTTTTTTATTTATCTTCTTCGTTCTTCCCAATAATTTCGTTCTATTTCCATTGTTGCAGGATTACGCAGTTTCTAGATTAAAAAATTACCAATGTTTAAAAGAGAAAATCATAGTTTCTGGATCGCCAACGATAAATGATAACGACGATACTACCAAAAAAATCACAGTAACAGATTGAACGAAGCGAGTGCATGATTATTACAGTGCACAGTCTTCTTTTTGCAGTGTGATAACAAATCAAAATTTTGACTGCCACATTTTCATGCGCTCGTAATTACTTTGTCAGTGTCCCGACTTGCTGTTCTTTCGTGGCCTATGTTTGCAATTTCTATTAAAAACAAAGAAACAAAAGAAAAAGAAATGAAACAAAATAGAAGATATGAAAGCCAACGAATAGACAAGTCGAAGAAAAATTAGCGCATGCACGCAAGTGTAAAAAAACAAAAAGAAAAATCGAAAGTGGAAGTAATGAAGAGTAGAGAAGAATCAAGCAAGATAAAAAAAATTGAAGAAAATAAGAGGGATAGAACGATGCCTTAAAATAGAGTAATCGATGTGAATTGTCACAAGGAGTTCGATTTTTTTCATATTATTTATATTTTTTATGAATATCACGAATTCCCCTGTCAAATTAGTATGAACGTAAGAATCGTTTTTAATTTTTTTTTCATAGCATAATCTCTTTCTAATGTAATAAATGGTAATGGACTGCATATACAAGAGGGGTCTCCCCCATAGACAACCCTTCCTTAAGAATTACAAATGTGATATAGGATAACGAATGTGTATGATACTGTCCTGACATGTTGAAGTTTTCAGGGAAATGCTGCTCAACTTCCAAATCACGCTATTAATATTCATAATCGGACTTCAAAAAACAAAAACATTGGATATTCCTACTGTTTATAATTACATTATACGTATATATATACATATATGTACATACACGTACACATACAAATACATACGTACACGCATGTATATGTATAGGTATGTTCGCATGTATGTGTGTGTAAGTGATTTGTTGTATACAACTATCACTTTGCTGTACCTGGATTAAATCGCTATTACAACTGAAATAGGAAACTTTGTACGCTTAAGATGAAATAAGCCAGATCGTACTTTCGATCGCGTCTTGCATATATGTGCGCGTGTGCGTGCGTGTACGTCTGTGTGCGTCTGTGTGCTTGCGTGTGCGTACGTGTTCGTTTGCATACCATATATGCGTATGTATATGTGCATATATATATTATATGTTGTATACCATATACGATATACTGTATATATAATGCATATATTGTATATATAAAAAGTTATACGAATATATATTTCGGTGTGTATGTGTACACATACACACACGCGCGCGCGCGTATATATTTATATTTATTTATTTTATGTACTTAAATGTGTTTGTATTGGCTTTAATTTTGCACGAACTGAAAACGTTTATGCGAAGAAACTGAAGCATGATAATAAACTGAACATCATTATTGTACGTATTTGTAATCAACGATTATGATATCAAAGTATCATTCACCGATATTTTTCTCCGCGATCAGTTAGTGGTATTTGCGTTTTATTTGTAATTCTTCCACCGTGATATCGTGTATTTTTCATTAATGCAACACATTTCTCGGTTTAACGAAGAACAATATTTTAATAAAGTTGAAAAAAAAAACGATTTATGCTTATCCACTATTTATTTCTATTATCCTATTCACATTGGCATTTCATAAAACAATTAATTATATTTATTAAAAATAATCAAAATTTAATTTTATATTCTAAATCGATTCTACGTTTATCGTATTTTACTTTCATTATCGTAAAATGACAAATACTGAATATAAAAGTACTATCATACGCAAAGCTGCTAAGGACATTTCACCACCTTTAACTTGAAAGAAAGAAAAAGGATCTAGGGGTGGGAAATGGCTACGTGCGTGACGTTCTTCTAGTTTGATTCCGACATTATCATTCCCCTACTCTTAGGTCTTTTTTCCTACTGTACTTTCGCTTTGAAAATAGGGGAATGTCCTCCACGCCTGACAGCTCTGCTCATGCGCTTGCAACTTTTAATCAACTACGTATGTTAGGTTACTACGTGTGGTTACATGTACGTAAGTTTACGTGCATTCGTGTGATTATTCAGGTACAAAAGTTTTTAAGTCATTTGCGACAACAATCACTTTTAAAACGTTTAATATTATCTTCTTACGTATTTTTTACGAACGGTAAGAATTATGGAAACTAAATTAAGCGAGTTTATGTCAGAAAATTATTTAAACGATAGTGAAAGAGACATATCAACTGACATAAACAATCAAGAAATGTACACTAATAAAATACCTAACCCTCTTGATACTTCTGGGAATAATATTGTTTCATCGAAACAATATACAAATGATTTGTTTAAAAGTCCCAATGGAATTGACAATATTGTAACTTTTAAGAAGCCAACTGTATTACTTGATTTGAAACGTTCTTTGACGTTAAATAAAATTTCGAAAATATCACCCTTAACAGACACATGTGCAGTGGGAAATAATGATTGTTGCTCAGATTGTGATAGAAAGGCTGAAGAAACCTCAAAATCTTTTCCATATATAGAACCACCTTGGGGAGGAATGCCAGAAGAGAATTATAAATTGGAAGTATTAAAGTCTGGAGTCATTGTTGAGACAATCGTACTCAGCAAACAAAGTTTTCATGTTGTTGGACGCTTACCTTTTTGTCATTTATCGCTTGCTCATCCCTCTATTTCAAGATATCATGCAGTTTTGCAATATAGATTTAAAGAAGATAAAGAAAATTATAAAGGTTTTTATATTTATGACCTAGGGAGTACCCATGGTACTTTTTGGAATGGAAGCCGTATAAAGCCTAATGTTTATGTAAGAATACAAGGAGGTCATATGATTAGATTTGGTTGTAGCCAACGAAAATACATTTTACAAGCTCCACCAGAAGATGAAGAGGAAGAATCTCAGTATAGCATAACTGAGTTGAAGGTGTTTTTCATTCTTTATAAATCTTTTTCATACACAAGTAATATTATTATTTTGAAAATAAATTTATAACGAAACAAAAATCTTGTAGGAAATGAGAGCATCCCAAATAGAAAAACAGCGCATGGAGGAGAAACTTAAAGCATCTATTGAAGAGAAAGAAAGTGATGGCATTGATTGGGGAATGGGTGAAGATGCAGATGAAGAGACAGATCTACAAGAAAATCCATATGCTTCTATTATAGATGAAAATCTAGTCTTAGAAGATCCTAAAAGAACTTTAAGAGGGTGGTTTGAAAGAGAAGGATATGATCTTCATTATCAAGCAGAGGAGAAAGGATTTGGACAATTCTTGTGTTGGGTGGAGTGAGTACACACACACACACACACACACACACACACACACACACACATTTAATATAAATGTTTATATATTTAAAAGTATCCAAAAACACTTTGAATATACTAATAAAATCAAATTTTCAGTCTTCCCACTGAAGATATTGTTGGTCATTCAACAAGAGCAGAAGCCCTAGTTAAAGGTAAAAAGAAAGAAGCAGTTGTGCAATGTGCATTAGAAGCCTGTAAAATTTTGGACAAATATGGACTGTTAAGGCAAGCGAATCATGGTAAAGATAACATTTATTATTGTATCAAATTTTAACCGGTTTTTCATATCTATTAATTTTATTTTTTTATAAAAACAAACTATTTCATTGTATTTGAATATGAAACTCATCTTTCAATCCATTTACATGCAGAAGCACGGAAAAGGAAAACAAGGAATTGGGAAGCCGAAGATTATTATGATTCAGATGAAGATAATTTTTTAGACAGGACAGGTTCAGTAGAAATGAAGCGGGCTCAGAGAATGCGATTAGCTGGGAAATTGGAGGAAAAAGCTGAAACATATGATTCATTAGTGAGTTGAATGGAGTCACTTTACATTTTGTAACTTTCAGTAAAGATTAAATTGAAAGTGTTTTTGTTATTATTCTTCCAGCTTGAAAGGTACAAAGAAGTTACAAAACGAATATCGCGTTTATCAATTTCAATCAGTAATTGGCAGAATGCAAATACTGCAAAGAAAGAAATAAATGAAGAAGATGAATTAGATGCTTTTATGTTAAGTCTAAATTCATTTGCTTTAACTAAAAGCGACATTGCTAAGATGAAGTTAGAATTACAAAATCTTCGAAAAGAAGAAGCAAATTTAATTAAGTTATTAAATTTAACGCAGCCAGCAAATTTACCATCTCCTTCTTATCACAATGTTACTCATCAAACAATATGTCAGACTAACACAATGGTGCAGAATGAACTACCGGAAAGAAAGAATGAATTACCGGAAAGAACGAAAATTCACGGATCTTTAGTTCAACGTAAAAAGGTGAGTAGATATTTGTTTTAGATTTCATTCAATACTGCTGACACAAATTCATCATTCACAAGTTTCATTAAATATTTGTTTACATCGCTTTCTCATATAGGAAAAACAGAGAACAAACCGACATACAATTTCAAATACTTTACCAATCACAATTGCTGATACATCAGTGGAAACAGGACCTATGGAAGAAGTAGATAGCGATGACAATAGTGAATTAATTTCGAATTTGTCTTATGCCTCGTCACATAAAGAAGATTCCGAATTATCCTGTTCTACTAATACTACTGTTGTCACAAAAGATGCACCTTCTAAGAAACATAAGGAACAGCAAGATTTTGAAATGCAAGTATCAAAAAGGCATCAAAGAGAGCAGCATAAAATATATTGCGACCAAGATGTATACGCCGATAATTATTCAATGTGGATTCCACCATCAGATCAAGCAGGAGATGGAAAGACAAGTCTTAACGAAAAATACGGCTATTAAATTGAGACTGTTCGATTAACGGTATACTAATTGTATATATTTGTATTTATTACTTATTACATGTAATTATATGGATTATATATTTTTTAAACTGTATTACGATTTAATTTATAATATAATACTTATTAATAATGAATTACGTTTAACCATATATTGTTTATAATCATAATATATGATTCACATATTTTCGACTTTATATACTTTTAATCTCTTGCTATCATTTACCACATGTGGTCCACATTTATCCATATGTGGTCCAAATTTCCCCTTGGGTTCCTGCATGCACAGAAAGACACGAGGTAGTAATTTTCTTGACATTGTTATTGCATATTGTGCGATGTATGAATGGGTGGTTTTTATTAATGCTTTTTCTCCTTTCGTTGCTAGAGTTCTGACAAAGGTAGTGTGGTACAGGCATTTGGTTTGATCTGTATTATAATTTTATAATCTGTACAATAATTTTTGAAATCGAGCAATTATGTTCTATTTGGTAACGAGAGGAATAATGTATATACTCGCTCCAAGTTAGGTAGCTTACCTTTGTACGGATAGTGCGCACATGAAACTTACAATTAATCTATGGATCTATCTTATCCTTCTTATAACTACTTAGGTCTAAACGCACGAATCCCTTGTCGTCCAACGATGTCTTCCGATAAAATCTCGAAAAACTTAAAATCTATCTTATAGATACTTAAGTCTACTTAGATCTAATCGCACGCATTCCGCGTCATCCAACGATGTCTTGAAAAACCTGAAAAGCTGAAAAGAGACAGATTAGTAAAAGATTAGTACAACACAATAAAACAAATATAAACAAACAAAATAAATATAAACCATAAATATCAACTAAATGGAGCGAACAACCTAATGATGAGACATTAAGAACCTGACCATGAGACATGAACAACACAACGATGAGACATAAGAACCCAACAACGAAACATTCGAATATTATACGAAATATTCGAATGAAAATAAATAGAAATAGAAAATAAAAGCTGGAAAGTGAAAAAATAATTGAAACCTGAAAAAAGAAAAAATAATTAAAAGCTGAAAGAAAAAAAAATTAATAACTGAAAAGAAAACAAAAATTATTAGTAAATTGTCTAATGGGGCAGGGCGAGGATGGGGCAGCCCCAACCACAACTTCGAATCCCTACCCCTCGCGCACAACGAAAATTCAGTTATTACATTTCTGAAGCCGAACCGACAATTGAGTTATGGTACGTTGCGTCGCACCATATATAGCCGACAATCGGCTGAGCTCCCCACCACGATTGCAAATTTTCATACTTTACCGATTACATTATTTATTATTTTTCCGCTTTAATAGTCAATAATTTATTAATTTTTTCACTTTTATTATAAATATACGCTGAGAGCAATTTGTCAATAACAATATTAATTTGTTATAAACAATCAGTGTAATAATTTTAAAACTTTTTGCAAATTATAGTTACATTTTGACACAAATTCGTTCCAAGTTCAAGTAATAACCAGTAATTCCTTAATTTTTTCACTTATATTATAAATTTACGTTGTGAACAATTTGTTATTAACATTAATAATTTGTTACTAACAATAAGTATTATAATTTACGTATAATAGTATAGTTATGTGTAATTATTACTCAGAATGTACGAACTGATGCCGATAATACTATTGGTTTTTCATTAATTACAATCTTCTATGCAATTAATTTATAAATTACATGCACACATTATAAAATCAATATCCTTGGGAACATTCTCATATCATTTTTGTTCTTATTTTACTTCTAATTTTGTTCATAATTAATTATTCTGTTGGACCATCGAGCCGATCGTTGTTATTGAATCACGTACGTCGTCAAGTAAATAATAAAAATAACAAACTAATTAGCGTCAAATTATGTGCAAAAATTGTATAACAATGTTGCGCAAAGAGCCAGCTATGCGATACAGCTATAAAAATTCATAAATTAATCGCAGAAATTGCATAATTTATTAATTTCCCAATTATTCTCCAATAATTCCCAATCGCTAATACGGTCTTTTTTCGTTTTTTAATTTGGAGGTCCAGCTGGTTATGAGCTTAATTTTGAATCAGATAAGTGATCATGAGCTGATTTGCTCTTACCACTAGACTTTTTATTTAATATCGCAGACTCTTCTTCAACTTTCTCCGCTTCTTCACCAAATGATAAAAGATTGAAATTTCTGTAACAAAATTTTTCATTGCAAAGAACAATATTATCATGGATAAATGCTACAAACATATATGCTTTTTACTTTACTCCTGCTGTTTTAGTTGTTGAACTGTCCTTTACTTCATCACTTTCCTGTAATATTATGCTTGGTGGAATATCAGAAAATGGATTGTTCAATATTATAATTTTTATCAATCTCGGAGGATAAACTGGTCTATCATTCTACAAAAAAGAGGGAATATTATATTTATATCAATTCTTGATATATCTTTTTGTAAACATTAAATTCACCTCATCTACAAGTGCTTCTTCAATTCAAGCATGTTATATATAGTTTCTCCAGTAACATTACAAAAGATTGTATGTTTATTCTGCAATTTTAATGTAGAACCGAGAGTAAAGAAAAATTGGGAACCATTGTCATCTTCTCCATAATTAGCCATAGCAATTAAACTTCGTGCACAGGAACGTAATCTTGTACGAAAATCGTCCTAAAATACATATATCCAATAATTATTTTTACATAAAAAAGGAATTCATTTTATTTTTAAATGTAGTCTCACTTTAAATGGTTCTCCACATATGCTTTTACCACCTCCTCCTGTACCTTTGAGATCACCACCTTATGCTATGAATCCTTTGATAATTCTATGAAATATAGTGTCATGGTAATAACCTTCCATACATAATTGTATTAAATTTTTACATGCCTTTGGAGATTCTTTTACCCATAATTCTAAATCAATATAACCAATAGTTGTTTTCATTGTAACCTAGTTATGACAAATATATTAGCTTTATTAATGTAAAATACTTTTAAAATCAAATTTATTAAGATTTATTATTTATTATTCTAATTCAAATTAGAAATTATTTAATATATTAATATAGAAATTTAGGAAGTAAATATTGTATATAGATTACATTTTTAAAAACAGATATGCAATCCATTAAAATATTATTAATTAATACTTACTTTACCCGTAGTGGGTAGCCCTTGTATATAAATATTACTCATGTTCGTAAATCTCCTTTAATAAAACAAATCCATGGTCAATAATATTTCATATTAAATCTTTAGTCATTTTATAAATCAGTCAACCAAATGGTCTTTCCTCGAATAATCATCAGCAGGTAGTACATACCTTTTACCTCCTTTTGACATTGACTGTATTGGCACAATTAAGTCCATGATGTGTCACAGCCCCATTATTCTTCTTGTTTTTATAGTTTCCAAGTTCCTATAGATATTTCTACACATTTTGGCCTTACTGCAACATTTACTCTCTATATTCAATTTATCCTTACCTTTCATAACTATTACCAATTGTTCATTCTCCATCTCTTCAATGATCCTCATATTTCCATGTTGATGCCACAAATCCTTCTCTGTTTATAGATATGTTGCCACTTTTATGTTTCTTGATTCAACATAATATGCATTTCCTCTTCTCACTGCTTTCATTCGAACCTGTCTCTTTTCTTTATATACCTCAGCTCCATCATTCTGAAACTTTCAACACATTAGAGATGATCTTTGACTTTGATCACTGATATTAATATTTATTTAGATCAGGAATACAACATACCTTTGAATCTCACTGTATTCTCTACATTTAGTTGTTATAAGAGGTCATCACACAATATTAATTTCATTTCTTTTTGTCTGCCTAAGCCATCTCCATTTTCTGAATCTTTATTTGACCATCAAAGATTTCTATCTTGTGTGTCATATAGTTAGCCGACCTAGAATCCAGTACAAATGTCATAACATATTTGTATTGCTGCTTCAATTTTTTCTCGCTATAAAATATAATTCTTGGTACCTAATGGCTCTACGCTGGTGATTTTCCATGAGTCCAATATTTTTCTACTGTTGCATGTGCCTGTTTATTTCAACAGAATATTGTCTCTTCTCAACCAAGCTTTGCTATCACTAATAAAAGGTGGAAAAACAATGGCTCATAACTTATTCTACTTGATTACAATTGAAGGTTATGTTAATACAAAGACTTACATTCTTTTGCGTGATGCAGGCATACCTGCATGGACACAACAATGCTTCCGACGTTTGTTTGCAATTTTTTCTCATTTCCTATGCACTTTCCTGCTCACTTGGAAAAAAATTAACAAATCACTTAATTTCTGTGATTAATTTATGAACTTTTATAATTGGGTTGTAAAGGCGTACCTTTGCATATTAATCATCTGCCAGGTAAAGAAATGAATACTGATTATTTAATTAAAACCACTGTTTGGGCTGAATTGATTAAAGAATGTATAAAACTTTATGGGATTCTTAAGTGGATAAAAAGAAGGAAAAAGAATGTGTGTTAGTTATTTATGTCGTTTTATTGTTTTATTTATTTCGGCCTCCACGTCACGTGGATTTAGACGACATCCAGGCGCAATCTATGTTCTTTCTACCTAATCCGAGCTTCGAGTTCAAAATCATAGATGACACTGATTTTCTTTTAATAGGTTACTAACTCTGCTTATGTGCTCCTGGTACTTTCTAATAAACCAATTCGGCAGTGGAAAATTCACTAATTACTTAATATCTGTGATTAATTTATAAACTTTTATAATTGCATCGTAAAGCCAGATCCTTCAAGAACTTTCTAATATAATTTTTGATATAAATTTGTCCCTAATTAATTAATTAGTAATTATTATTCTACGGAGTGTTTGAATTGTTGTCGAAGACGCCATTGGTTTTTCATTAATTACTATCCTCTGCGCAATTTAATTTATGAAACTTTATACACTCATTATAAAAACAATGTTTTCGCGAATCTTCTTATATAACTTTTGATCACATTTTGCTTCTAGTTTCGTTTAGTATTAAATATTTTCACGGAAGATCGTGATGGTCGTCGTTACGAAATCATGGACGCCATCAATCAATAATTAATAACTAACTAATTCGTATCAAATTATGTACGAAAATTACATAAGAATATTGCCCAAAATTCCAGCTTTGCAATGCAAGTATAAAAGTTCATAAATTAATTACAGAAATTGAGCAATTTATTAACTTTTCACTTTCGGAGCCCTTGTATCCTTTTCTATTCCCTGTCTGACCTTGTCTGTCGTGTGATGGGCTCTTCGACGATCTCTTCGCCTATTCTGTGTTCCTATTACTTTTCTGAGTTTCGGGTCCAAAATTATAGATGGCGCTGATCGCAGGCAGTAAAATTTTTCATCTTATCAGACAACAAAAATTTAACATCTTAATAAATCAATTCCGCAGTAGAAAATTAATAAATTTCCAAGTTTCTGTAATTAATATAAGAATATTTATAGCTGCACAGCAAAGTTGGAATTATAGCAACATTCGTATACAATATTTAATTTAATACTTAATACTTATATGAGCGATATGTTCTGTATTTCCAGTATTTAATGATTATTTATATTTTCGTTTTCTTTCTGTAATAAATAAGGTTGCTATAGAAAACTGTTTTGCTTGTATAATATTCTTATTATATTGTAATAAATATATATATTTATGCATAAGAAATAAATTTTTTTATTAAGAAATTTTATTTACAATGTTTTCATAGGCGAAAAATGAATACAAAATAAAAAATAAATTTAAAGAAGATACCAAATTATGAAGAGGAACGAACCCCGACTTGCGGGATAGAAATTCTCGAATGTCGTCGTTACGCCATACTTCCACCCAGATAAAAGTGGAAATAAACATATAATTAAAGAATGTAATAAAACTTTAAACATAAATATCTTATAAACTATTGAGTAGTTGCGGTTATAAAAGTATATATTTTTGAATTGCATTACGAAATCTACAAATCTGCAAAGTTTCAACTAAATTGATAACCCAAATGACTTGCATTCTCGTTCTCAGTTCATTCCAATGTTGGTCGAACTGCTTTTGATACCGTTTTAACTTGAAATCTTTATATGATTAGAGTTTTTCAAAATCACATGTGATTTTTTTCACATTACGCAGAATAAATAGAAGATGGATTATTACAATGGAAAAGAGTTCGAAATTTCTTCCTATTTTAAAACAAGTACGTATTATATCAAATAAATATGAAACGTATAACCTAGACAAGAATTATGAAGTTGGTTGAAAGATGTTTTCAAAGAGAAAAGATTTGTTGCAAAATTTGTTGAATTGAATGAGTTGTGGAGATCTTATTATCGAGTTCGAAAAAGTAATAATTTTTTATGGAAGTTTTCTTCTCTTTATGTATATATAAATCGAATAAATGATAAAAATGTATGAAATTGCTAATCAAGGTAAAGATTGATCATAAGGAGTTTCACTTTTTAACATTGCAAATTGTTTCATCGTAATAATAATAGTTCTATCTGATTTAAAATGATCTAATTTAATTGTATTTTGAAAATTAATACAGTATGGGATAATATAGCTTCCATTGGATGGTACATAATTGGAATTATGATCTGCATTTGGTACGCATCTCCTTCTATTCAAGAAAGATATGCAAGTTGGAAACTAAGAAAGGAAGAAGAAGAATATGCAGCAAAGTATCATAAAAGTAAGTAAGCATACACTATTACCTTAATATATCAGTATAAGATGTAAAAAAGTATATGCTTAATTTTATTACATCTAGATACAGATCTTTTGCAAGAAAGAATTTCAAGTATGGAAGCTTCACGACAAAAAATGCAGCAAGAATATTATAAGAAATGCATGTTAGTACAGCAAGAAGGGACAGAGGTATGACGGATATTAACTTTATACACTCGTTTTAATGCTTTCAATGCAAGATTTAATAAAAAGAAATTAGAAAATACTTGTTCTATTTGTCAGCAGAGAAGAAAGACGACAAGAGGAACATTAGGTTTAAGTTTGGACAGTAATGTTTTAGGCCAAAGACTAGAAAAGAAAAATAACGATCTACCTCCTTCAACAGGAAAAAAAAATAATTCTTTAAGGGAAGGTAAATATAGAGAGAAAATGGATAAAGGATGAGGTGAGCATATCAATGCATATAACGAGCTATTACACTTGTCAACTGTTACAGAATATAATCCCTTAATGGGCGATAGTTCTAGAAGTTATCGACCGCCTAAACGCTCTTGTTGTGGAAAGGGCAGTTGTGGATAATAACGTGTAAGGTTAAATTAAATAATCTGATTTTGTATTCATATCTCCGAATTAGAATAGTTGAAAGAAAAAAATAGATTACTTACGAATAAGAATGATTTTGTACATAATTATCAGATTGCTGTCTTTCGTTATAATAAAGTTTTAAATTTCTATATCCGATATAACGGTTAAATTACTCGATGTTGTAAAATTGTTTCTAATATCTTTCATTGTTATTTTATTTAATTTGCGTTATAAGATTAGGAAAGGAAGTAGGGTAAGGTAAAATAATCGTTTCTTCTTTTTCTTCTTGCTCCATTAAATGGTTGGAAACTATTGTTGTTAGAACGTAAAAAAATTGGTTAAGTACTCGAGTTTTCAACGTTACTTTTTCTTCGTTTTTATTAATAATCGTTACTCGTATATTACGTAACGTTTTCGTATATCGTCTTATATGCATATGTAGTACTTGACAATAATAATTATTACTTTTTAATTATCTACATTTGTGCGCGCGTGTTCGCCTGTATGCGTACATTACTAGACTGCATTGATCGATTTTCTTAGCGTTATTTTTTTCTTCCCTAACGCATTCAAATTGAACAATCATTTGCGTTTGTCTCATAATAAATAAGTTATTGCCTATGAAAACGCTTACGAACGAACGATTTCTGTTTGTTTTATACTTTTTACTTTTTATTTACAAAACGTAAAGAAGATTTAAGCTAAATCACTCATCAGCTTTCACGTTTATAAATTTTGATCTAAGAGCTAAAATATCAAAGTAAAATTCGAACTTATCGAATCGTAGTGATCGGAACGTTTCGTTAACGTTAATAGATGTTTCTCGATGTAAAACGTAATGATATGACGATTAGTGCGTTGTGACTACAAAATATTTTGTTATTACACGATGCTGTTAATTTTCGTCTGTCGGTTTAAGAAAACGTCCAATCTCGGCGGACTATTTAGCTATTGGCAGTGATTTCTAAATCAGCTAGGAAAACTTTGTAAAATTTGCCCTTGCTCAGGACATTGTTCATTTAATCGATTTTTACGAACACGACACAGTTCGGGTTACGTTTATAATTTGGTTAGGTTTTATAAACGGAAGAACATCGAGGTTTCTCATTACATTCCGTTCCTCGTCTGAGTCTTCGATAAATATTCTAGCGTACACAGTTAACGAAGATGCGATGAACGCAGGAACAAGCGCATAAGCGTAGGAGCAATTTAGATAGAAATTAACCGACGTTAATGACGGTGATGAATGACGCTGATGGGGAGAGTGAAGCCAATGAAACGATGATAGATGGAATTTGTGGAAGGAAATTGTTGCGCTCGTATGATAAGGATATAAAATAAAAGGGAATCTATGGTGAAAAAAGAAACTCGCGTGTAAGTTACGACCCACATGCGACATTTTGTTCTCGTCTAATTTGAAAGGATTACGCATAATATGATACAAACAGTGCGAACCATCGTAACAATCGTGCAAATATGAGAAACTATAAAAATAAGATCATTACTTTTTTTGCTTCGCAAATTGATAGGATGGTTCAGCATAATATAACATCAAGAATCGTTTACTCGCGATTCTGTCGCGTAACGAAAGTATCGTGAGTTCTCGATCTTGAAGCAAGTATTTTCAGTATCTAAGTAAGTAGCTACTATCGATCGAACTTCCCCATGTCAAGTAGGAAACTTCGAGTGCGAATTTATATACAGATCTGGAGGTGTTTGTTCTCCCAAAGAATCTATGCGAACCTATAGAACGACCATTTATCTCTCAGTCATTGCAAGTTCGACGACAAAGTTTGGCAAACTCAACGTATAGCCTGAATAGAGGCTATCGGAAATAGTTTGGATATCGTTACGGCGAATACTTAAAATATACGTTCTACGTGGCTACACGTTTCTCTCGTTCGAATTTTATCCTTTATTTAAACACCCTACGGAAACGAATGGCATTTTTTTTTTCCTTTTTTTTCACTGTTACTTCGTTAATTATACTTTTTTCTCTTTTTTTTTTTTTCTTTTCTTTTTGTGTCTCACCTTTCTGGATGGATTATACTCATATCTATACGTACTACGGATTTATCAATTTCATTTGCAAATTTTTCCTCGCGTGGATAACTCATATACCTATGTGTACATCGAAACGTATATTCACACTGGATCTCCGTGGTCTCTCGTAATTGCGATATTCGGCAGTGAATTTAGCGTCCATTATTATTTCCCCTTTACGCGATATCGTAAATAAACTACCGATAATTCGACAATCGTCGAGTTACGATTAGGCAGTTTTCACTCACTGCTCGTAGCTTCGCTTGAAAAACAAACTAATTAGAACGAATTTGAGCGATTATTACGAGTGTCTACTACTCGATTTCAAGATACATCTTTTTATTCCAGCTGGGCTCTCTCGCAAAACATGAACATCATACCGAGAGAGAGAGAGAGAAAGAGAGAGAGAGAGAGAGAGAGAGAGAGAGAGAGAGAGAGAGAGAGAGAGTATACGCGAAAGGTTACAAGGACCGACGTTTGTTCGGTCAATTCGATGATTCGATTCAATTTGGAAATTTTTCAGCCATTTCGAGATTGTTCGAGTCTTTCTATTCGTACTTTTCCCCTTTTCCCCGTTTCTTCTTTATATCTTCGATTTTGCTACTTTCTTTTGTTCGCATCTTTCCGCGATTCTCTGTGAATCTTATTGGCATCGATGAACGATTATTGCCCAGCTGACTTGGCAATGCATCGCATAACGTACGCTCCCCCTTAGTTTGCCCTTTAGTTTAATTTCCCCTTTAGTAGCTTTCCCTTAGCAAGTTGGATCTTTTCGAAGATTCGCGGCGAAATACACGATATAATCGGAGCAATCCATAATTGCTCTTGCTAGCTTCGATTGTTCGTAAAAGACAGAAGTTTACATACGCGCACAAACACACACATACACACGCGCGCGCGCGCTCATAAGTACATACACGCACACATACGTTCGAAAACTGTTCGATATGACATAATATCTCTTGCACATCATTTTTTGCCGTACTTACCATTAACAACTACATATACGCGTAATTTAATAAGAGGCGCGCGATGATAGGTTCGCGTGTACGCGACAAAGTTGAAGAGATTTTCTTGCTATTTAGGAACGTTATATCGAAAAATAATACAACCGCGCGTAACTTTCAGTGGACAAAGTTGAAAATTTCTGGAAAATAAGTATCACGTTGGACTGACGGACAGAGGGATCGCACGCGGCTCACCAATGTAAATCTATCCTATTTATAACACTCTACTTTCGCTCGTGTAACGGTTAATTTTGGATGCTGTTCACTTTACGGTAAAGTTTATCGTTCATCGTCCATCGTTACTACTACTCAATGGCAGTGAATGTGTATTGAGCAAACAACGAAAACTGTGAAGAACAACGAAAGCAGTAAAGAACCGTTAGTTATTCTTAGGCTATTATCTAAAATATTATAGATTCGCATTCTTCTACTACTATGTATTCTTCTATTACGTATGTAGTAGAAATGTAACGCACGTAAACGAGGTTAAACAAATTCATCGGGAGAAAGAGAAGACGAGCGAAGAAGGTTCCCGCGGCAGAGGATGGAAGGAAGGAAGAAACGAGAGAAAGAGAGAGGGGAGAGAGGGGGGGGGGGGGGGGGGGGGGGGGAGAGGGAGAGAGAGAGAGAAAGTCAAGGGTATATCACGTTTGAGAGTTTTTCAGGTTCAGAGATATCGAGGACGCGATTAGCCCGCGAAAGGTACTTTGAGAGAATGTTGGCGATATTATCGCGCGAGACGGCCACGATTCGTTGCGATCGTCCAGTCAATCGTTTCGAGCTGAAACAGCGGTTCGTATGGTCAGCGATCGATTCCATGTCGATCCCGGTCCAGAAATTCTCGACATTAGCCATCACGAAGATCGGCCGGTCGATTACACTCGATAGGAGCATTTGCATTTCCGCCACCTACGAAAACGTTATTCAGCTTGTTGTATCTTTGACTTCCAGAACTACTGATTGTGTTCGAGGCCGAGGAATTGTGCTGAGGGTAGCCGCCGATCCTTGAGAAGCTAGGCACTTTATCTGAAAAAATGGGAGGAGAAGAGATTGGTGGTATAAAAATTGAATCCAATTATAGGATGTATCGACAATCGGACATTATAATTAGAAATATATTAGAAGATAACTGCTATGTTTACCTTTTCCACGGTTATGCCTCGATCTTTCTTGCGAGCTAACGCTTCCAGATTGCTTCGGAGGAATACAAGAATAATTACTGTCACCGCTACTATAAGTCGGTGAAGCAGTTCTAGTGTTTCTTCTACGCGGACTTCTGCCGTTTCTGTTTCGGGAGCCCGTTTTACCATGAAGACAATTCGCTGACGACGAGACGAATTGATCGTTGTATTCGAGTGTGTTTCCGTAGAGACAACTGGATTCTGAACAAGAACAGCAGATATCCGAGTGTGCGTTCGAATCGCAGGATTTTCTATCCCATTCGTCGTTTTCTGGCTGATAAAGGTTCTCTATCGGATACATATCTCCGTCGTTTCGTCGATAAATCTCCTCATTTGCCATTGATCGCTCCGAACGAGAATCTGCACGATTTATGTGACTATACGCAGATTCGTAATCTTCTAGCGGTGAATCGTTTCGTTGACCGTATAAAAGAGAACCGCT